GAACCCTAAGTGTTGGGTTTGACGTGGGGATAGAGTTAGGATAGTGCATTGTGTGCAGTGTGCTATGGAGGTACCCACTGTTCTCCTAGGAGCTCTCCTTTGGCTCCCTGATAGAGTTAATTCTAATGCTGGGGTATCTGGGATGCTCACCCGCTGTATTCCAGCCGCTGGACCGTGGCTCACCAGCTTCTCGTCTTCCTTTTGGGAGCCCTCAGGAACTGCTGACAGGGGCAAAGCTTTTGGGCAGCTCTGCAGACAGCTGCGGAAACATCCCAGCCTGGGAGTGTTAGTTTTTCCATCTCTGGTTTCCCTTCCCAGGGAAGGGGGGAAATTTGGGGATTCGATGCTGTCAGGCATGTTTGGGATGGACCTTTGTGTGATGGAGGGGAGGTGGGGTGGTGCTGGGCTGGATGAGGTTGAGGTTTCCAGCCCAGGACCTGTGGTTTGGCATCTTCCCGTCTCTGCCAGCCTAAAGGCAGGCTGATAAAGGCAGGCTGAGCATGAGGAGGTTTCAGCTCTCCCCTTCACTGCTGCTCCCCTGGAGATACGCACAGGATCAAGCAGCAGACACACAGCAGCTCCTGCACGAGGCAAGGTTGGAGGCAGGGCTTTTCGAGCTCAGAGGCTGAGTGCAGTAAGTCCAAGCCATGCTTTTAGCCTCGTTTCTGCTGTGACATCCATCACAGGGTCACTTTTTTCCTTCTTAAAAGGAAATGGCTTTTTACCGCTTCTTTATGGCACAACAGGAGCGCCTTGGTGTGAAAACCCCCAAAACGTCTTGTTCTTCTGCAGATGGATTGTACTGAAACACTGACATTGCAGAGCTGCAAACTGCTTCATAGAGCCCAGAATGGTTTGAGTTTAAGGGACCTTAAAGCTCCTCCAGCTCCAACCCCTGCCACGGGCAGGGACCCCTTCCACTGGAGCAGCTTGCTCCAAGCCCCTGTGTCCAACCTGGCCTTGAGCACTGCCAGGGATGGGGCAGCCACAGCTTCTCTGGGCACCCTGTGCCAGCGCCTCAGCACCCTCACAGGGAAGAGCTTCTGCCTAAGAGCTCAGCTCAGTCTCCCCTCGGGCAGGTTCAAGCCATTCCCCTTGGCCTGTCCCTACAGGCCCTTGTCCCAAGCCCCTCTCCAGCTTTCCTGCAGCCCCTTTAGGCACTGGAGCTGCTCTAAGGTCTCCCTTCAGGAGCCTTCTCTTCTCCAGGCTGCCCCAGCCCAGCTCTCTCAGCCTGGCTCCAGAGCAGAGCTGCTTCAGCCCTCGCAGCATCTCCATGGCCTCCTCTGGCCTCGCTCCAGCAGCTCCAGGTCCCTCTTGTGCTGCTGCCCCAGAGCTGGAGCAGGGCTGCAGGGGGGGTCTCCCCAGAGCACAGCAGAGGGGCAGGATCCCCTCCCTGAGCTGCTGCTCACGCTCTGGGGGATGTTTGGGCTGTTCCTGCTCTCTCAGCCAGGCTTTTCTTCTGTGGTCGCTGATTTCTGCGTGTGCTGCTCCGGTTGCATTAGAAGGCTGAATAAATGGGCTTTAAAAACTGCTTATAAGGCCAGATCCTAAAGAGATAAGCCCAGAGCGCGCGTCAGAAGCGATCCGAGGCTGGAATTTCTCTTCCAAACATCCCTGGAAGCCAGAGATCTTTGTTTGTTTGTTTGTTTTAAGTCTGTCTCTGCTTCTGGAGCCAGGAAAATCCATCAAGTGGAGAACACAGTATCCGAGCCGAGCGTCTCCCTGCTCATCCCGACCGAGTAAACAGCGTCAGCTGCGGAGAGATGTTCCCTTCTATGTTTAGGAGCAGTTCGTTGTGCTGCACCCTCTGCACGCCTCAATCTTTATCCCTAAGGAAAGATAATCTCAGCTGGGCCTGGATGGTGTTATCAGGGTGTGGAAACCTGCGCTGCGCCCTGATCCAGGCAGAAAGCAGTGCAGTTACCCCCGTGTTCTGCAGGCCCTGGAGTCGGTGGTGAGGAACAGGAGCTCTTCCATCGGGAAGCAGAGTCCTGGAGAGGAGGAAGCCCTCCCATGTCAAGTAGGTTGGTGCCAGGCTTTGAAGCACCGCTCAGCACATCCTCCAGGGAGCTGGGTCCTGGAGCAGGCTGTCACGGGGCCCCATGGAATGGAGCCGGGTCCCTTTGATGTCCCTTTGCTCCTCCGCATACCTGAGACCTGAAGTCACCGAGGCTGCCTTCCCTTTGCCCTGGGCCCATGCCCATGGCAGCAGCAGCTCTCTGCAGCTTTAGACACAAGCAGTGTCAGCTCTCTGGGTTTCCAGTCTTTGTGCGTGTGTTTCAGTCCTGGTTGCCACATGCATCTCTTGTGCAGTATAGGGACCCGGCTGCCTGCTTGGAGCAGGCTTTGAGAGGCCAACTCTGCTTTGAGTGGTATAATGCAGACCTTTCCTGCATTGCGGAATGAGGCTCCGCTCATTTACACCCCTACAACGTCCAGTAACAGGCAAAGCTTCCTGAAGAACCGGGGCCAGCCCCTGCCCTGGGCTGTTTGCATGTTGTTGACTCATTTGGGAACCATCTTGGTGTCTGAGGCTGGGGTTGACCTTCAGGTTACAGCAGCAGGAGGGTGGCTCTTCCCACTCCCTGCAGTCCCGGCCCTTTCGGACACAACACATCCCAGGATGGAGGTGCCCCATCCCTGGCAGTGCTCAAGGCCAGGTTGGACACAGGGGCTTGGAGCAAGCTCCTCCAGTGGAAGGGGTCCTGCCCATGGCAGGGGTTGGAGCTGGAGGAGCTTTAAGGTCCCTTCAACCCAAACCATTCCATGAGTCTATGACTCTGGTTCTCCTCGATGGAGAACCCAACCAGCTGATTGTCTACAAATCACACAGGACCGTTCCTAACAGCCCAGTTTGCAATGCCAAGCTTGGCACAGCAGCTTTATACCCTACCAGGGAGAACATTTAGGCTGTGAACCCGCTGCTGGGGATTAATGAATTGCACACAGCCTCAGAATGAGCAGGAAGCCTGGAATTTGGGAACAAAGAGTAACCAAATGTGACCTGCTTCTGGCACCCTCGTCTTGAAGGAGATTGTGGGTGTAGCTCTTGTGTCCCAGCACAAGGACTGTTTCCTGCACCACTTTATCCCCTATACTTTACACCTGAGAGCAGCAGCAAAGTGTGGTTTGCTTCTTGAGAAAGGCTCATGGACCCGGTGCCCATCTCCCCTGTGTCTGGCTCTTCCCCCCCAGCTGGAACCCATCGCACTGGAATCACTTTCCTCAGCTGCAGCATCTTAAAATAGCTGCTCTGGTTTCCTTTAAAAATAGTCCCTGTTCTGCTTGTCATTACCTGCTAAAAACACCCCCCGAGTGCTGCTGGGGTAGCAGGGGAGAGGTTTGGTGCATCAGCCTTTTTGGACAGGGTGACCGTGCTCCCGTGGCCACGTGCTGTGCCCTTGAGCTGCCCCTGCTTCCCGCATCCATGGTTTTGGGGTGATGTATTTGGGGTTTATTTGGAAAGGGTGACTGCAGAGGTGCAGGAATCTGCCTGGTGCTGGTGGTGACAGCGGGAAGGATGCTCGGATGCCTCAGCACTGGCTGGAGAGGGTTTAGCCGCTCCCGGGCAGCGGCTCAGCACTGAAGACATCAGTGACACAGCTGCTGGAGCAGGCAAGGAGGGTTCTGCAGCAGGCTCGGACCTGGCTCCTCACAGCAGCTCAAAGGGATCCGGTTCATTGATAGCTGCTCTCACTAAGAGACTCATGGCACTGGCAGTGCACCGTCAGTGCTGGTGGTGGTTGGTGCCTCTGCTCAGAGCTGCTGAAGAGAGAGGCTGCAACACAGACCTCAGGCTGCAGGAGGTGCCCAGACCTTGAGGAGGACCTGGGGGTGTTGGTCAATGAGAAGCTCCCCATGACCCGGCTTCAGTGAGTGCTTGAGCCCAGAACCCCCCCGTGTGCTGGGCTGCACCCCCAGAGCGTGAGCAGCAGCTCAGGGAGGGGATCCTGCCCCTCTGCTGTGCTCTGGGGAGACCCCCCCTGCAGCCCTGCTCCAGCTCTGGGGCAGCAGCACAAGAGGGACCTGGAGCTGCTGGAGCGAGGCCAGAGGAGGCCATGGAGATGCTGCGAGGGCTGGAGCAGCTCTGCTCTGGAGCCAGGCTGAGAGAGCTGGGCTGGGGCAGCCTGGAGAAGAGAAGGCTCCTGAAGGGGAGACCTTAGAGCAGCTCCAGTGCCTAAAGGGGCTGCAGGAAAGCTGGAGAGGGGCTTGGGACAAGGGCCTGTAGGGACAGGCCAAGGGGAATGGCTTGAACCTGCCCGAGGGGAGACTGAGCTGAGCTCTTAGGCAGAAGCTCTTCCCTGTGAGGGTGCTGAGGCGCTGGCACAGTGAATTGCGATGGGCCAGCCCCAGCGCTCACATCCTGCTGCTCAGCAGGTCTCTGGCCCTTATGGAGCCTTTTGAACCTCAAACAGCCAAACTAAAGGTCTGTCAGTGATGTTTGAGGTGCATTTCCTTCTGCTGACCTGAGGAGTGACTGCTCATTCACACAGCACAGCTTTTAGGCTTTAATCGTGCTGCTTGAGAAACATGGGGTTCAGTGTCTGCTCGTGAGTACCCGAGTGTTCTGCCATGAGCCTCTCTGGATGCGCTGGGATTGGGATTCCTTCTCCCGCTCCCCCTCCGTGGAGAGACGTTAGGAGGGATTTGGAGGTAATTACTGCTTTGATTCCATGCTGAAGCACTAATTTCAAGGGCTCCATTGGAAAGCAGCAATTTCCTGGCAGTGAGTGACAGAAGTTTTGCCACACATGAGATGCGCTTTCAGGCTCCTACTAATTACACTGACACAAATTGGCAGGAGACGTTTGCTTCCCAGGCTCCCAGCTCTAATTTTGCCTCTTTCCTCCTCTTCCTCTTCCTTTTATAAAGATAGAGTGTTAAAGATGGAGGGGTTTAAAGGTGGAGCCTCTGCGTTGTCTCACTTCAATACAAGCGATGCAGAGTTCAGTGCTTGTGTGGGTTCTGTTCTGACCTCCCCCTTCTCTTTCCTCCCCCAGGTTCATACCCTTCACCTAAGGCTGGAGCCACACTCGTGGTCTACAAGGACTTGCTGGTGCTATTTGGTGGGTGGACACGGCCGAGCCCTTACCCTCTGCACCAGCCAGAGAGGTTCTTCGATGAAATCCATACCTACTCACCCTCCAAAAACTGGTAAGAGCACATCTGGATTCAAAGCTCAGCCTTTGATCCTTGCAGAGTGTAATTGAGCTGCAGGAATGCTGGAGGGCATCTCTGGGAGCCCGCCTGGGAAGCTCGGCGTGGTCCTGCTCTCCTCAGTGTGTCTCATTCCAGAGTGGCTGCCAGGCTTTTATTGGAACAGAAGGAAATGAAAAGCCAAAAACCACAGGAGCGCACCGGAGCCGTGGGGATGGGGCCGTCTGGCACCTCTTGGGTGGTGCTTGCTGCCATATGGCTCTTGACTTGCACCTAAACTATGCCCAACTCCCTGAGTGTTCCCAGCCAGCCAGGTGGGAATCAGGACATGGGGTCAGCTCTGGGCAACAGCACCAGAAGGACCTGGAGCTGCTGGAGCGAGGCCAGAGGAGGCCATGGAGATGCTGCGAGGGCTGGAGCAGCTCTGCTCTGGAGCCAGGCTGAGAGAGCTGGGCTGGGGCAGCCTGGAGAAGAGAAGGCTCCTGAAGGGGAGACCTGAGAGCAGCTCCAGTGCCTAAAGGGGCTGCAGGAAACCTGGAGAGGGGCTTGGGACAAGGGCCTGTAGGGACAGGGCAAGGGGAATGGCTTGAACCTGCCCGAGGGGAGACTGAGCTGAGCTCTTAGGCAGAAGCTCTTCCCTGTGAGGGTGCTGAGGCGCTGGCACAGGGTGCCCAGAGAAGCTGTGGCTGCCCCATCCCTGGCAGTGCTCAAGGCCAGGTTGGACACAGGGGCTTGGAGCAAGCTGCTCCAGTGGAAGGGGTCCCTGCCCATGGCAGGGGTTGGAGCTGGAGGAGCTTTAAGGTCCCTTCCAGCACAGACCAGGCTGTGACTCTGTGTGTTTTAAACACATCATTGGTTTGGCTGGGAGCAGTGAGGTCATTCTGAGGAAAGGAGGAGATAAAGCCCCAGCTCCTGGAGGTTTTGGGTTTTAGCAGTGGTCCAAACCTCCCAGCTCCTGCAGGCTCCCGGGGAGGTGTGACAGAGGCACCTGCACCAGGTTAGGGATCTCTGCCCTCACAGCTCCTGCTCTAGAGCATCCAGCAGTGACCACAGTGATGGCAGGAATTTGCCTTTCCCTTTAAGCACCGTTTGGCTGGTTTCAGAGCAGCCTTTCCCACTGCTGCTGTGTGAGAAAGGAGCAAAGGCTCTGTCAAAGCAGCGATGGCTCCTGCTCCTCTTCACTGAGAGCTTCTCATCATCAAAAGTGTCCATTATACAGAGTAGAGGCACCAGAACGCTGTAATTAAACCGTGTTGGAAATCGTTGAGGGTGAACTTTAATTGAAAGGGGCGATACATCCACCATGGCCCCGGGGCTTCATCCTGCTTCAGAAATGGTTATAGCACATCGGGATTTCTAATGAGTTTCATTAGGATTTGCCTCTTTGGAGGTTTCCCCTGAGGTTTTCCTCTGTAACATGTTCGTGAGGACTTTTTGCCATTCATAGAACCATTGAATCAACCAGGTTGGAAAAGACCTTTATGTTCATCAAGTCCAACCGTTCCCCAGCCCTGCCAAGACCACCACTAACCCACCGAGGTCACTGGGGGCCTCACCTCCATGGGTTTTGAGCACTTCCAGGGATGGTGATTCCACCAATTCCCTGGGAAGCCTGTTCCCTCCAGTGCTTTCCTTTCCAAACCGGTGTGAATGTCTTCCTCCCTCTTTCCCCAGGTGGAACTGCATCGTGACCACCCATGGCCCCCCTCCCATGGCAGGACACTCCTCCTGTGTCATTGAGGACAAAATGATCGTCTTTGGGGGCTCCCTGGGATCAAGACAAATGTGAGTCTGGGGGGAAGGTGTCTGACAACAGCTCCTGCAAGCGAGGAGCGTGTTGTGCTGACCACTGGGTAGCTCAGAGTGTTTCAGAAGGAAACCTCTGCAGGGTTTGGGCTCTCCTCCTTTAAGCACACCCTTTGCCTCTTTATGGTGAATCCCCTTGAGGCTCCAGCCCACAGAATACCCAGTTCTGCCATACAGCTCTGCCCTGAACCCACGTTTCACGTGCCCACAGAGCCTGGTTGTCTCCTCAACCCTTGTTGTCTCATCCTTGCAGGAGCAACGACGTCTGGGTGCTGGATCTGGAGCAGTGGGCTTGGTCCAAGCCCGCCATCTCCGGGCCCAGCCCTCACCCACGAGGCGGCCAGTCTCAGGTGAGCTCAGCACCAGCACCCTGCCAAAGATGAACGTGGTGGAGCTTAATTCCCAGCTTCCAGGCAGCTCTCAGCAGCGTGCCTGAGAGCTAATACCTGATCTCCAAGTTACCTTCACCACCTCTGCCCAACGGGCCCTGGTTTCCCCTCACCCCAAGCCATCTGTTTGGTGAGGGTGAGCTTTTCATCTCCCTAGCACTGATGCAGGTACCGTGCTGTATCTGGCACATGACTCAGACTCTAACGAGCATTTCTGGAGCACACGTTGCTGTTTGAACCCAGCCATCACTCCCTGTGGCAGTTGAGATCAATCAGGTGTTATCACACCTTGGTTTGGCTCAGGGCCCTTTTTGATTGCTCCGCTCTCCTGCTTCTTGGTTCCAGTGGCTCTGGGCTGTGCCCGCTCTGGTTTATTGCCTCCCTCACGGGTGTCACCCAGCTTTGTGCAGGTGTCTCCATCCCTGCTTCCCTTCACGGTCCCTTGGGAAGACACTCAGTGGTTCCCAGTGTGTGGTTCCTCTCAGGGACCCAGAGGAGATCAGATGGGTCGTGCCCAAACATGTCTTTCCTCCACTGGAAAAGAAGGTGAAGGGCCTCTCACCCACCACCAGCACCTAACAAACCTTGCTACAAGCACAAGCCCTCCCAGGCAACCCATCGACCCTTATCTGAAGAGGGGTGTTCAGGCCCCGGTGCATTGGCTCAGCCTCAGGATGGGTAATTGCTCTCCTCCCTAAGAGGAACTGGTTTGTGAGCCGTTTGGGACAGGGCAGCGGGGTGAACCCTGCGTCCTGCTCTGCCTCAGGCCCAGCAGAACCTGCTCTCCATCCCAGCTCCACTCCTCATCCCGGGGCAGGCACCATTCAGCAGCATCTGTGCAGCCAAGAAGCCAGAACCTGCCTCTGGCTGTGCTTGGAGGCTGCACTGAAAGCACCAGCGATGGTTTCACATCCCTCCCACTCTGAAACTCTGTTCTTTGTCCCCTCTAGATCGTCATAGACAATGAAACCATTCTAATCCTCGGTGGCTGTGGTGGTCCCAATGCAGTGAGTATCCATGGGGAGCACAGGCAGGATGTGCCCGCTGCAGCAGTGAGCCACAGGTGCTGCAGTGGGGAGTGGGGGGGGACACTCTGCACCTCACCCAGGTGGCATTTCATTCTGCAAACCTGGAACCAGATGAGCTTCCAGGTCCCTTCCAACCCAAACCATTTGGTGATTCCATGAATCCTGGGCTCCCATGTGATGGAGTTTCCAGGGAAGCTGTCTGCCTATTGCTAGAGCCACTTTAATTAAGAAAGAAGCACCTCAGGCACTATCCCAGCAGCTCGCTGAGGTTTTAATTGAGCCTCGGAAGAATTAGAGAGAATTAGATTTTATACTGGGATGGAAGATGGAGATGATGGGATTTGTCTGCGACCACATAGGGTGTAGTCGCTCCTGGGCGGTCAGATCCTGATCTGGGTCACCATTCCCCTGTCTGCAGCAGCACAGCACCACTCCTGCCTCCCATGGGCAGATCTCAGCAGCAAACCAGGCTCCTGAACCTGTCCCACTTCTCTCCACAGCTGTTTAAGGACGCCTGGTTACTGCACATGCACAGCAACCCCTGGACGTGGCAGCCACTCAAGGTGGAGAACGAAGACCACGGAGCCCCGGAGCTGTGGTGCCATCCTGCCTGCAGGGTAGGGACACACCAGGGTCTCACATCCACCCCTGGAGCTTCAGCAGAGCCTGTGGGGACAGGCCAAGGGGAATGGCTTGAACCTGCCCGAGGGGAGACTGAGCTGAGCTCTTAGGCAGAAGCTCTTCCCTGTGAGGGTGCTGAGGCGCTGGCACAGGGTGCCCAGAGAAGCTGTGGCTGCCCCATCCCTGGCAGTGCTCAAGGCCAGGTTGGACACAGGGGCTTGGAGCAAGCTGCTCCAGTGGAAGGGGTTGGAGCTGGGTGAGCTTTAAGGTCCCTCCCAACCCAAACCATTCCATGAATCTATAGTTCCATATCCCCCTATTCCCCCCAGTACAGCACAAAGCATCCTCCTCCCGTTCTAACCCGGCCTCTCCCCTTCTCCTCTTCCAGGTGGGCCAATGCGTGGTGGTCTTCAGCCAAGCTCCCAGCGGGAGAGCCCCGCTGAGCCCCAGCCTCAACTCCCGCCCGTCTCCCATCAGCGCCACGCCGCCCGCCCTGGTCCCCGAAGCACGGGAATACCGCTCCCAGTCTCCGGTCAGGAACACGGACGAGGCTCCCTGTGTCAACGGGCGCTGGGGCACCCTGCGGCCCAGGGCGCAGCGGCAAACGCCCTCGGGCTCGCGGGAAGGCAGCTTGTCCCCAGCCAGAGGGGACAGCTCCCCCGTGCTCAACGGGGGCACCTTGTCCCCCGGTGCCACTGGTGCCGGCGGCGCCTCCTTGGACAGCCCCGTGCAGCTCGTGTCACCCAGCACCCCTTCCGCAGCCGAAGGATACGAGCTCAGAGTGGGGCTGGCCCTGGCGCCGCGGCGGGGATCGCTGCCGGAGCAGAAGGATCTGCGCTTGGGATCCGTGGACGTGAGCTGGGAACAGAAACCGGGCTCCCTGCTGTGCCAGATGGATGCTGTGGAGGGCAGGACACTCAGCGCCAGCGGGAGGAACCCCCCGGAGCACACCAACGGCATCCATACACCGCCCCACGTCACCGGCTCCCTCCCCGGTGCCGTGTCCCCCAGCGCGCTCCGGAGGAGCCTGGAAGCTGTCAAAGCCCTTTCCTCCAAGGGCCCCTCGGCCTCAGCAGCGCTGAGCCCCCCCCTGGCCTCCTCCCCGGGGTCCCCGGGCGCCGAGCCGGGCTCAGCAGCACGTCCTGGTTCTACCCAAGGGGACGGCCATTCCTTACCCCCCATCGCCCGGCGCCTGGGCCACCACCCCCCGCAGTCCCTCAACGTTGGGAAGCCTTTGTACCAGAGCATGAACTGCAAACCCATGCAGATGTACGTGCTGGACATTAAAGACACCAAGGAACAAGGACGAGTCAAATGGAAAGTGTTCAACAGCAGCTCGGTGGTGGGACCCCCCGAAACCAGTTTACACACGGTGGTGCAAGGCAGAGGCGAGTTAATCATCTTCGGTGGCCTCATGGACAAGAAGCAGAACGTGAAGTACTACCCCAAAACAAATGCCTTGTACTTTGTGCGAGCAAAGAGATAATGCGGCCCCATCCTGCACCACCGCCTCCTCCCTTCCATCCCTGCGGCTCTTCCCCATCCTTCCCGAGCCCTTCCCCTGTCCCGCCGGCGTTCCAACTGTGAATTAGGGAGCAAGAATCCAATAAAATCCAAGCAAAACCCTCCAGTGCTGCCCCACCGGTTCCCAGGGAGCCCCCAGTGTTTACAGGGGGTGGAGAACCCCCCCCCCCACTGCTGCCATCCAAGCCAAGGATTTGGGGGGAGCCGGTAGGGAATTGGGGACCTCCAGCCTCTGGAGGTTGGGTTTGTTCCATGTCCGTGTCTCCCCCAAGCTCTTCCTAGGACGGGAGTGAAAGCGGTTCTATAGGAACACCCAGTTCCAGCAGGCTGGAGGCTGTTTGCTTGGCTCCGTAAGGAAACCAACAGCAATATCCTGGCAGGAATCCCCCTTGCGCCAGCCTTTGCTTGACACAGACACGATGCCTTTGTTCCCTTTTGCCTCTCGCCCCTCGTTCCTGTCCTCTGGAGCGTAAAGAAGGAAGAAAGGGCAGGATTTAGTGTGTCAAAATGCCAAATATGCGAAGCATGAGCCGGGCGTTGGGATCCCCCCCATGCCCTGGGCTGGATCAGGCGTTGGGATCAGCCCTGATCCCTTCGGATCCGTGAAAACCACCCCCTTTACCCTGAACATCCCATTATTCCCAGGAAGCTGAGACATTTGGCTGCCAAATCCCTTCTGCGCTCAAAGGTTTCCTATCCCTCAACAGCCCAAACCCCTTCAAGGCTGAACCAGCACCTCGGAGCCTGGGAATGGGGGTATTTTTCCAGCCAAAACGATAGATTTGGGTGGCTTTGAGGGCGAGAGCAGCCTCGGGAGCGGTAACTGCAGCTCATCTTTGCACGTGCCTCCTTCCGCAAAGATTAAACCAACTGAAAATCCAAAGGGATTGAACCTGTGCGTCCTTCTGGGACAACCTCCCTCCATCCCTTTCCCCTCGACACAATGGAGGGGTGTGGGGTGGGAAAAACGGGTGGATTTTGCCAGGTTTTGGTCAACAACCTCCTTAGGGAGCCCTCCCCAAGCCGGCAGCGCCATGACGTGGTCCCTGTTCCCATTGGATCCTTTTCTATCCCCACTTCCAGCCCCACTGAGCTTTTTTGCCGGCCGGAGCCTTAAATCCCATCGCAGCCGCGTGCGCATGGGGAGGGATCTGCTTCATCCGCGGCGTTCCCACCTCTGTAAATAAACCCCTCGTGCAATCCCAGGTTGGATTTATCCAAACTACCCCAAAATCCCTCAGGAGCACCGGAGGTGATGGATAACATCCTTGTTTCTCCACTCGAAGCTTGGGAATGCTTCGGCATCCATTCCCATTGCATGTCTCTCGTCATCCCACCCCATAGTCACCAAGGGATGGACAGCGGCGCTGGGTTGACATCATCCCAACACTTCCATCCCCAACCCCGCCGGGTTCATCCCTCCTCCATCCCCATGGCATGTCCTGCACCCGAACCCATGCATCCATCCCAACCCCTCCATGAGCCGCTGGTGCTGTGAGCGAGGGGCCGTGTCCCCTCCGGTGTCCCCCCCACATCCTTGTCCCCACTCTAGGAATTTGGTGATATTTAAGCCCTTGTGTACATTGGGGGGTTGGGGGGGGTGATGGGTGCCCCCATCCCGGTGGATTTTTAGCAGTTTAACAAATAAAAAGGAAAAGAAATGGATGGTTGGTGCTTTTGGGAATGGGGGGGGATGGAGGGGAGGGGAATCTCGCATGGTTGGGGGGACCAGGGGGGAGGCTGGGGTGTTAAGGGGCAATGATTGCAAGGGGGGGGGTGTCAGAATAAGAGGTGGGAAAAGGGGGCACAGGGGTGGGAGAGGTTGGGAAAAGGGAGAGAGTGATGGAAACTGGGAATGCTGCAGCATCCCAGCGTCAGCAGTTAGGGATGGGGAGCCCAAAGCCTGATAGGGGTGGAAACTGGGGAACCCAAATCCTGATAGGGGTGGAAACTGGGAACTCCAAATCCTGCTGGATGGGGATGGAAATGGGGGACCCCAAGGCACAATAGGGCTGGGGATTGGCAATGGGGACCCCAAATCCTGCTGGGGATGGAAAGGAGACCCCAAAGCATCCCAGTGCCGGTGGCCGGGGATCACCACGTGTGCCCCCCACACCTCTGCGCATGCGCTGCCAGCAGGGGGCGGAGCTCGCACACGCCCCGCCCCCTCCTTCCTGACGTCACCCCGAGGCGGAAGAGGCCACAGGTACGGCTGGGCGGGGGGGGGCGCTTCTTAAAGGGACCGCGGGGGGGGGGGAACACGACCCCATGGGGGGATGGGGGTGCCCCCATATGCGGGGACCCCAAAGAGGGGGGTGGGAGGGGAAGAGGAAAGCGGGGGGGCAGGGACGCCGAGAGGGGGCTGCGTGGTTTCCCCCCCCGCAGGGTTTGGGGTGCAGGGGCTGGGAGGGAGAAAGGACCCCATGGGGGGCACCCAGGGACCCTATGGGGCGGGGGGGCTAAAGGCAATGGGGTGAGGGTCAGAGACCCCATAGGGGGATGCTGAGACCGGGGGGGGGTGCAGGGACCCAATGGGGAGGTCAGAAACCCGAGGGGCAGTGAGCAGGGACCCATAGGGAGGTGCTGGGACCCATAGGAGGATGCTGGCACCCTATGGGGGGGTGCAGGGACCCAATGGGGGGGGTCAGAAACCCGGAGAGCGGTTGAGCAGGGACCCATAGGAGGATGCTGGGACCCTATTGGGGGGTGCAGGAACCCAATTGGGGGGGTCAGAAACCCGGGGGGGGGGGGGGTGAGCAGGGACCCATAGGAGGTGCTGACACCCTATGGGGGGGTGCTGGGACCCAATGGGGGGGGGGTCATAAACCCGGGGAGGGGGTGAGCAGGGACCCATAGGAGGATGCTGGGACCCTATGGAGTGGTGCAGAAACCCTATGGGGGGGTGCAGAGACCCTATGGGACCGCATGGGGGGGGATGCTGCTACCCGGGGGGGGGGAGCAGTGCAGTGCAGTGACCCCAATGGGGGTAGGAGGGGGGGGGGAGCGGATCCGTCCCTTGTCCCTTGCCCCCCCCAGGTCCCGATGTCACCGCAGAGAGCCCCGGTGCTGGAGCCGGGCTGGCTCCTGACCCCCGCCGCCCGCCCCTACCTGGGCTCCATCCTGCACCGGAACCGGCGCCGGGTGTTCGGTGAGCCCCGCACCCGCTGTGCCCGCCCTGAAACCGGGGTCACCCCCCCCATAAAACACCCCCCCCCCGACACCCCCCCTCACCCCATAGGGCTGCTGGAGCGCCCGGTGCTGCCCCCCGGCCTCGCCGTCCCCCTGGTGCCCTACAAGCTCTTCCTGCACGGCAAGAGCGGCGTTGGCAAGAGCGCGCTGGTGGCCTGGCTGGCGGGGACCCCTGTGCCCCCCGTCCACCACGAGACCCTCGGTAAGTGTTGGGGTGGGGGGACACGGAGGGGACACCCCAACAGCACCCCCAGTGCCCCATAGGGGTGACGGCGCCCTCTGTGTGTGTGTCCCCATCGGCAGGCATTGAGGTGACCACCGTGTATTGGGTGGCCAAGGCTTGCGCCAGCGGCCGCCCTGTCCTGTTCCAGCTCCGGTTCTGGGATTGCGGGGATGGAGCCATGAGGAAGTTTGAGCATCTCCTGCCCGTGAGGCTTTGGGGTTGGGGTTGTTGGGGGGACACACACACAGCATTTGGGGTCACAGGGCCATGATGGTGCCGTCCCCATGGCCAGGCCTGTAAGGAGGAGGCAGACGCCGTCCTCTTCCTGTTCTCCTTCACCGACCGCGCGTCCTTCGAGGAGCTGCCGGCGCAGATGAGCCGGGTGATGGATGCCGATGGAGCGGGGATGGTCAGGGTGGTCGTGGGCACCAAGTATCCTTCTCGAGGGGGGGGTCCTATGGGGAGCAGCGCCCCCCAAACACACACACACAAATGGGTTTGGATCCCAGTGTTCCCCATCACTTGGTGCATCAATAGGCTGGGAACGGGTGCACTTCATCACACTGATGGGCTCACGGCACACACGGACACATGGGGGGTGTTGGTGTGCATGACCATATGTGTGCCCCCCCATAGCTCCCAGTGCTCAGGACCTTGCTGGGCTGAGAACGCACACACCTCATGACACCGATGGGCCGCTTCCTTTGAAGGCGTTTTTGGGTGGATTTCAGGGAGTTTTGGGGGTCTCCTTTGGCCATGTTTCTGTGTCCCACAAGCGGGTTTGCGCCCCGGTGTTCCCCACCACTTGGGGCATCAATAGGCTGAGAACGGGCACACCTCACTGCACCGATGCACTCACAGCACCCACTGGTTCTTGGGGGGGTCTCATGGTGCTGGTGTCTCCCTTGACCACGTCCCCCCCAGGTCGGACCTGTCCCCACACGCGGATGTGTCCGAGCGGGACGTGGAGGCCTTCGAGGAGGCGCAGGGGGTGCGGGTGCTGCGGGCGGGCAGCGCCCCGGGGGGTCCCCAGGGGGACCGGGGGGGCCTGGCCCGGGTCAGCCCCATCCTCGATGCCCTGGTCGAGAGCCTCTGGCACCGGGACCAAATCACTGCCGGTGTCGCCCCACAGGGTGAGGGGTCCCCCCCGGCCTGAACCCGCTCTTTGTTAGGAAGGGGGGGGCGGTCCTGCAGCGTCAGGAGCCCCTCATCGTGGTCTCTGGGCTCGGTCGTGCCCTGGGTGGGAAAAGAGGCGTTTTAACGAAAATACATGTTTTTTTCAGCAAAAATAGCCCTGTGAGTGCTTTGACTTAATTGAATGGGGGTGTTGGGGTGCATTGGGGTCATGGAGATGGGGTGCTGAGGGGTTTGGGGGGCTTCGGATCCTGTGGCATTTGGGGCGCTGGGAGGTATTGGGGGATTTGGGGTGCTGTGCGTGATGCAGGGTTTGGGGTGCTGGGCGTGCTGCGGGTTTGGGGTGCAATCTAGATCATTTGGGTGCTGGGGGGGTTTGGAGTGCTATGGATGGGGCAATGGGACTTGGGGTGCAGTGGGGATCATTGGGGTGCTGGGGGTTTGGGGTGCTATGGATGGGGCAACGGGATTTGGGGTGCAGTGGGGATCATTGGGGTGCTGGGGGTTTGGGGTGCTATGGATGGGGCAATGGGAGTTGGGGTGCAGTGGGATGCTGGGGT